GGCCCCGCCCTCACCACGGCCACTGTGCACCCCCTGCACAGGCTTCCAGTGGTCGGGATGCTCGGACAACATCGCCTATGGCGTGGCCTTCTCCCAGTCCTTCGTGGACGTGCGGGAGAGAAGCAAGGGGGCCTCATCCAGCCGCGCCCTCATGAACCTCCACAACAACGAGGCTGGCAGGAAGGTAGGGTGGCGCTTCTCCTGCCACTACCACCACCGGGGCGGGGGCGGGCTGGGCAGGGCGCCTGGAACACTCTCCCACCCTCGCACCACTCGGGAACATTTGCGCAGGCTCCCACCAGCACTTGCGTGGGCCGGAGGGGTATGGGGCGGCGGGTGGGGGAGCAGACAGGTAAGCAGGTGTCACAGAAGCGCGTACGACACACACACACCCCCTTAATAAGCAGCAGAGCCGGGATCTGAACCTCGTGTCGATGCACAGATCGTGTGCGTTAACTAGGATACTGGCTGCCTGCTCCTGCTCCTGCTCCTGCTCGAGGTTCCCGTGCAGACTCAACGCACCTCTCCCGTCCTGCCCCCCATCGTGTCCCTCACCACGCAGTTCCAAAACGATGCCCTTCGGGAGGTTTCTCCTCCGTCACTGCAAGCGCCCCAAGGGCAGGGACAAAGTCTCCCACCGTCCCCAACACAGCCCACCAGCCCACCCTGGCAGACAGCGGGTGCTCACTCCGGAAGCAGGACGCCCGTGCTCCCGTCCCCGGCCCGCCCCGGGTCCCAGCCCCGCCCCAGCCTCCCCGCTGGCCGTCTCCTGATGGCCCCTCTCCCCTCCCCGCCCCCTGCAGGCTATCCTGACACACATGCGGGTGGAGTGCAAGTGCCACGGGGTGTCGGGCTCCTGTGAGGTAAAGACGTGCTGGCGAGCCGTGCCGCCCTTCCGCCAGGTGGGCCACGCACTCAAAGAGAAGTTCGACGGCGCCACCGAGGTGGAGCCACGCCGCGTGGGCTCCTCCAGGGCGCTGGTGCCGCGCAACGCACAGTTCAAGCCACACACGGATGAGGACCTGGTGTATTTGGAGCCCAGCCCGGACTTCTGCGAGCAGGACGTGCGCAGCGGCGTGCTGGGCACGAGGGGCCGCACGTGCAACAAGACGTCCAAGGCCATCGACGGCTGCGAGCTGCTGTGCTGCGGCCGGGGCTTCCACACGGCCCAGGTGGAGCTGGCCGAGCGCTGCAGCTGCAAATTCCACTGGTGCTGCTTCGTCAAGTGCCGGCAGTGCCAACGGCTGGTGGAGCTGCACACGTGCCGGTGACAGGCAGCGTCAGCCCCGCGCCAGCAACCAGCTCGCGGCCCGAGGGAGGCCGGTAATTTAAACAGCGCCCCCACACCTACCCCAAGGGATACTGGCTGTACTTTTTGTTTTGGTTTGGTTTTTGGGTCCTCCTGTTATTTATTGCTGAAACCAGGCGGGCGGCCCCAAGGGCACCAGCCAGGGCCTCCTCGAAGCCTGGGCCTTTGTGGCCGCCACTGACCAAAGGGATCTCGCTCGTGCCTCTGGCTGTCCACATGTGGCCACTGCTGACCACTCGGTTGTTAACTGCATCTGTTTTTCTACTCACAGACTTCAGCTGGGTAATGAGGAGCATTGGTCACATGCCTACTGACCCTGCCATGTAGGGAAGGAGGCGGCCCTATGGCAGGGGGAAATCAGTGCCATCTGGAAGGAAGCTGCACCCCTGCACGTACACACCGGCCCCTGGCAGCTTCAGCCTGGTCTCCCAAGCCCCTGGAAAGGGAACGGGCAGATACCAGCTCAAGGGCAAAGGGTTCGTTTGGCCCTCCATGGGCGGCCGGAGGTTCAGTCTCTGTGGGACCTTCCAGGCAGGAAGAGCAGGCGAGACAAGGGCAAGAGAAGGTGCTAGTCCCACCCTGGAGCCCAGCCCCCCCAGCCCCCCCAGTCAAAGCCGCCACTCCCTGGTCACTCCCAGACAGGAGCACCAGCTGCCATCTTGGACCAGAGGTCCCAGCCAGGCCTTTGCAGCGACACCTCTTGACGTGTCTCCTCACAGTGCCACTCGTCTGTGAGACGAAGAATGGACATCACACATGCAGAGGAACCCGGCCAGTGGAAAAGCCCTGTCCCACCCATTATTTCACTCACTGAACCGAATTTACTGAGCAAATACCATGGTCTGAGCCCTGTACTGGGCCATCCCATAGGACGATCACAACAGTCCTGGGAGGTGCACAAGACAGATGCTTGTGCCCATTTTACAGCAGAAGGGGGCACTGCTCAGCCAGGTCCCAGAGCACGCTAATCAGAAGCACAGCCAGAAGAGCCCTCCAGACAAGGTTCCTCCTGGGCGCCTTACCCAAAGGCCCAGGAACTGGAGGTCTCCTTGGGGAGGAAGTGGGGCCAGGAAGTAGCAGAAGCCACAGACCACAGGCTAGACAAGCGGCCACATGGCTCCAGGGCGCAGAAGATGGACAGCTAGAAGGCTGGCGAAGTGAGGTGTCCGCAGCTGAGGCGACCCTGCCCCCAGGTACCCTGGGCACTGAAGAAGAGCCCCCCAGAGAAATCACCAGCAGCCTGGGCCTGGCCCTGCGCCCCAGCCAAACCAGCAGGAGCACAGCCCAAACTTCTGTGACCAGGACATGCACACAGCAAGACTCGGCCTGACCCCACTGCTGCTTCTCAGGTGGGCTCCCAACCACCATAGGAGCTCGCTGTCAGCTCAGTCTCCAAATTGCCCCCTTAATGGGGCCCCAGGCTCCTGGTTCGAGATCTTGAGCTCTGGGATCCCCAGCTGGAGACTCTCAGACCCCAAGCTCTTGGTTCCAGGGTTCCATGTCTGAATTCAAAGTCCCAGATTGAGAATATGGGTTCTGGCCTGTAGAAGCTCTCCTCCAGGCCTTGTGGTTTGTGCCTCCTGGTGCTGGCTTCCTCACGAAGAAAGGGTCAACACCCTTGGCCCCAAGCCAAACTCTCTGCTCAACGTCCATCCAAGAAGGCCAAAACCAAGTGAGATGCTGCAGCCACACTGGAATGAGGGGTAATCTTGGGGCCGGCAGGCTCTGATGTGGATGAAAGCTGAGCCCACTAAGTGTCCCCACAGCGGCCCAGCTGGACTCACTGCTCCTCTGGCAGGCTCTGTTCAGCTGTCTGCTCAGTGCCAGGGAAAATGCTATCCCTCACTGGCAGAGGCCAGACCCAGACAAAGAAAGCATGGGAGACCCCTCCCCCTCCAGAGACAGGGCAGAGCCACTCTCCCCCACCCCCAAATCCTGTCCTCAGAGCCAGAGGACTGGAAGGTCCAGGCTGGATGCTGGTATTATGGATACTGCCCCAGGAAAAAATGAGAGGGTCTGTGTCCGCTCACAGGCTTCACCTTTCCACCTGCCTGGGGGCTCTCTCAAAGCTGACCACCCTGGGGTTCTGAAGGGTATGGCCTCTGTAAAGCAGACTAGAATCTAGGAGCCTCTGCCCAGTCCTACCATCACCAGCACCCCAAAGGCCAAAGGGACCCACAGCTACATGAAAATGGAGCTTCCTTGGAAACACCCAGCTCCCAACTGTCCCAAATAAAGAGGAGGAACCAGCCCATGCCTTACATAGCCCACCCACTCTGGAAGCTGGCCAGAGGTTCTGAGTCCTGCCCGAAACTCTCTCCATTAGTCTCCACAAGGCAAAGGTGATGTCCTCTGAGGCCAAGGGCTAGATAAGCCCCAGCTCTGGATGCTGCTACCCCTCTGCTGCCCATACCCCATCCTCTAATTTTTATACTAGGCCCCTTGCCATTGTGACACCCCCATGAAATAGTCTGATGCACGATAAAATGATTATTTCTTTATCTTGTAATTGTGAAAGTGACTTCTTTTGTAGAAAAGGGAGGAGAGAGACATGGGGAAGGACACTGAAAAACACAGACAACTACTTAACGAATTCTAGATATGAGGACCCTCCTGGCCCTCTTTCCGTCTGAACTACTGGTTTGACGGCCACACAGAAAAAACCCACCTGCATGCTGTCTGGAATCCCCCTTTTATTTTTTTTCAACGTTTTTTTTTTTTTTTTTTTGGGACAGAGAGACAGAGCATGAGCGAACGGGGAGAGAGAGAGGGAGACACAGAATGGGAAACAGGCTCCAGAGCTCATCAGCCCAGAGCCATCAATGACCCACGACGTACGAGCTCAACTCACGGACCGGGCGAGATGATCGCGATTCCAGCTGAAGTCGGACGCTTAACCGACTGCGCCACCCAGGCGCCCCTGGAATCCCCCTTTAACACATGAGGCTATACCTGCATTTCATCGAGCCACAATCAGCTATTTAAGCCTTGGCCTGAGCCAAGGCCTCAGAACCCTTCTTGAGAGTTGATATAGAGGATAAACAAATACAATGACAGAGGAGGGTCTGGTGAAGTGGGTGCCAACTGAGAAGGTAAAGACCAAATCGAAAAGAACTTAGTTCCTGCCAGGGATCCAAGGCCTGTGGCTGAGTCCACTCCAGAATTGGAGCCTGGTCAGGATGAGAAGTCTGGATGGAAAACTGCATGTAACTCAAGCCAGAGCTGATGGGAAGACCCAAGGTGGCTTCTCAGGAACCTCAGCCTAGTGAAGTGCTTACCAAGGGAGACATGCCCTGTTGTCCCCCCAGTCCCCGCCCCCTGCAGCAAATTCACACCAGCCTGGAAGCAGTTAGGCTGCTATGTGCTTGGCTTTCCAAAAGTTCAGTGGGGTATAGAATGGCTGAAGCAAGTGCTTTTAAGACAGCAGAGGTGCACGCAGATTAGTGAAGAACTGGGAAAGGAGACAATGGAGGGAGAGAAGAGTCTGGAGGATGGGTGGAGAGAAAAGGACACCTCATCCTTAAATCAGGGCCAAGGCAAGAGTGGGAAACTGGTGACGCAGAGGCTCAAAGACAGCTGAACAAAGAGGTGATGGTCTCCATCCCCAACCATCTGCTAGAACTGGGAAAAGGACCCAGGTTTTACAACCGAACGTTAGACTCCAGTGCTGCCACTTTTTCACTGTGTGGAAAACTGGGTAACGCATCATCCCTCTCTGGGACTCATTTTCTTCCTCTGATATTAATAGGGGGCTATTCCCCCTGCTCCAACTTCAAGTGGGGCTAAATAGTAACAGAACCTATTTCTTGGGGATGTTGAATAAAATACGTAAAGCTCAACAAATGGCAGCTACTATTATGAATGTTTCTTTTCCCTTTTCAGGAATGTAGGAGGCAGTGAAGGTGGCTCTAAAATTGAGGCCAGAAGAAGGATGAAACAAGGAAGAAATCAGAGAGAGTTAGGAGCTAAAGACAGGTGATCCTACTTTGGCCCCATCCCCCAAATCAGACACCGACAGATGCCTCAGGACAGAAATCCCCAGGTCCTCAGAGACAAGAGAACCCAGGGGTCAGGATACCCAGGCAGCAGCAAGCAAGGCAACGGCAAAGCTGCCCCTAGGCACCAGCAGAAGAGGCTGAACCCAGGTCTCAATGTGGCTGAGAAGCAGGGCTAGGACAGGAAACAGGGGCCAAGGAGTGGAGGAAGGAGCTCCAGGGCTGTAGGAAGCACATGTAGTGGGGCCCAGGGGCTCTGCCTATGAGGATGGAAGGCTTTCAGGACTCCGAGGCAAGGTCAGCTCATGGAGAGAGCCTGTGTCCAGATCCATTCTTGACAGCTGTCCTCACGAGTCAGGCCTGAAGGTCTCTGAGAAAGGCTGTGAGGCTGTGATAAAGCGGACGTCCTTCTCAGCCCCTGCTTGACAGCCAGTGGCCCAAGAGACATCTGGGGAGACCAGAGGCAGAGTTTGAGGTCTTGGGCCAAGAAAGGGGCAAGAACACAGGCAGGCAGAGGGGTAGAAAGTACAGCGTTCCGGGCAACTGAGAGGGGCTGAGAAAGACTGAGAAAGACAGTAAGGAAAAAGCAGAAAGTTGGGAAGACTGGCACACAAGAACAGAGAGGGAAACACACAAGGAGAGAGAGAGGACAGTGCTGAGGGACCAGAGGGCATCTGGGCAGAGGAGCCCAGCAGCTTCCTGGCAAAAGGAGAAAGTGCCGAGCTTCAGAAGGCGTCTGACTCAAGAAAGGGGGAGGGGGTCTCAGGGGTGTGGGGGAAGGGGCGGAGCATGGCCTGCCCTGGCCCAGGCAATGACTTCATAGGCATCTCCCCCCACTCCTTCCTGAGCCGCCAGCCCTGGTGACCCCCTGCCCGTATCTCAAGGGTCTAGGCCAAGCAGGCGCTGACAGGGGAGAGAAGGGGCCCTCCTGGGCCGGGCCCCCAAGCCTGGCATAGTGCCTGCCGGG